GTTTATTTCTGGACTATCTATCCTATCCTATTTGTTTACATGTCTGTCTGTAATTACTGTAGCTTTGAATATATTTTGAACTAAGAAGTATGATGCCTCCAGATTTGTTCTTCTCTCTCAATTTTGTTTTAGATATTATGGGTCTTTTGTGATTCCACATGTGGTCTTTCTATTTCGATAAAAATGCCATTGGAGTTTTGATAGGATCACATTGAATCATTAAATTGCTTTGGATAGAGAAAAATCATCACTCTTGCATGATATAAAATTCTCAACAAACTAAGTGTAGAATACATGGCCTTTATTACCTCAACATAATAAAGGCCATGTATGAAAGGCCCATAGCTAACATCGTACTCAAAGGGGGGAAACTGAAAGCCTTTTCTCTAAGATTAGGAACAAGACAGGATGCCCACTTTTACCACTTCTATTCAGCATAGTAGTGGTAGTTTTATCAAGAGCAATTAGGCATGAAAATAAAAGGCATCCAAATCAGAAAGAAAGAAGTAAAATTATTTCTGTCTGCATATGATGTAATGTTACATATAGAAAATCCTAAAAACTCCACAAAAAGCTCTTACAACTAATAAATGAAGTTATTAAATGTGTAGGATACAAAATCAACATACAAAATTCAGTTGTGTTTATATACACTAACAACAAACTACCTGAAAAGAAAATTAGTAAACCATCTCCTTACAATCACATAAAAATGAGTTAGGAATAAACTTAACCAAGGAGGTGAAAGATTTCTACACTTAAAACTACAAAATATTGCCGAAACCGGTTTGGCTCAGTGGATAGAGCGTCGGCTTGTGGACTGAGGGGTCCCAGGTTCGATTCCGGTCAAGGGCATGTACCTGGGTTGCGGGCACATCCCCAGTGGGAGATGTGCAGGAGGCAGCTGATCGATGTTTCTCTCTCATCGATGTTTCTAACTCTCTATCTCTCTCCCTTCCTCTCTGTAAAAAATCAATAAAATATATTTAAAAAAAAAACAAACAAACAAAAAAAAAACTACAAAATATTGCTGAAAGAAATTAAAAACAAAAATAAATAGAAAGACCTTTCTGTGTTCACATATTGGAAGACTTCATATTGTTAAAATGTCTGTTCTTCTCAAAGCTATCTATAGATTCAATGTGAACCTATTGAAACGCCAATGACTTTTTTAAATTTTTTAATTACAGTTTAAGTTCAATATTATTTTATATTAGAGGACCAGTGCATGGATTCGTGCACTGGTGGGGTCTCTCGGCCTGGCCTGCAGGAATCAGTGGACCTTTGCGCTGCTGCAGCCCAGCCTTACCCGCCAGCTCATTGGGCTCCAGCCTGTCGATCCAGCACAACAGGAAGTAGTGCACAAAGCGGCAGGTGGCCTGGGAGGAGCCCCAGCGCTGCCCTGCTCCCGCTCATCCCTGCCTTGCTGCGCCTGCCACCGCTGCTGCTCAGTAGGCTCACTACCACTCCTCTGTGGTCTTTTGCGCGCCTGTCCTAGGTATTATGGGTATTATGCTCGTCATGGCAGCCTCGCTCCTTGCACCTTGCATGGCACTAGAGAAGCAGCCACAGGCTCATGCCCAGTTAATCCAGATGCCAGTCCCAATCCCTGTCCCAGTCTAGATGGGAGAGGGGTGCACAGGGGGAGTGTCTGCGGGAAAGGCTCCTGCAGCCACAGCTGTGCTCGCCAGCCAGCTGTGAAGCCCAAGCCTGGTGTCTGGCACCCGTCTGTTAGCTGAGCAGCGCTCCCGCTGTGGGAATGCACTGACCACCATGGGGCAGCTCCTGCATTGAGCATCTGCCCCCTGGTGGTCAGTGCATGTCATAGCTACTGGCAGGTCATCTGATTGCTTAGGCTTTTATATATATATAATTAGTTTCAGGTGTATAGCATAATGGTTAGACATTTATATAACTTACAAAGTGATCCCCCCAATATTTCAAGTACCCATATGGGACTGTACATAGTTATTACAGTATTATTGACTATATTCCCTATGTTGTACTTTACAACCCCATGACTATTTTGTGACTACCAATTTGTACTTTTTAATTCCTTCAGCTTTACACCCAGCCCCCAAACCCCCTTCCCTCTGGCAACTATCAGTCTGTTCTCTATATTAGTCTGTTTCTATTTTATTTGTTTGTTTATTTTGCTCTTTAGATTTCATATATAAGTGAAATCATATGGTAATTGTCTTTCTCTGTCTGACTTAGCATAACATCCTCTAGGTCCAATAATATTTTTTGAGAAATAGAAAAAACTCCTAAAATTCATGTAGAAACCAAAAAGACCCGTAATAGCTAAGAGAGAACAGAGCTGAAGGCATCACACTTCCTGATTCAAAATATATGCCAAAGCTACAGTAATCAAAATAGTATGGTACTGCCCTGGCTGGTGTGGCTCAGTTGTTTGGGCATCGTCCTATGCAACAAAAGATTGATTCCCAGTCAGGGCACATTCAGGGGTTATAGGCTCATTCCCCTGTGGGGAGGGCAGAAGGTGCAGGATGAAGATGATTGATGTTCTGCTCTCACATCCATGTTCCTCTTTCTCCCTTTCTCTTCCTCTCCCTCTAAAAATCAATAAAAATATTTTTTAAAAAACCAGTATGGTACTGCCATAAAGACAGGCATATAAACCAAGGAACTAGGATAGAAATCCAAGAAATAAATGTACACATATAAGTCAACATATCTTCAACAAATGTGCCAAGACTACAAAGTTAGGAAAGGATGGTTTCTTTAAAAATGGTGCTGGAAAAACTTGATATAAACATGCAAAAAAAGTGAAATCAGACTCCTATGGTGATACCTTGTGGACTTTTGAGGCCCTGGTCGGGGAGCTCAGTTGGTCAGTGTTGTCCCAATATGCCAGGGTTGCTGGTTCGATCCCCAGTCAAGGCACATATAAGAATCAACCAATGAATGCATAAATAAGTGGAACAAGAAATCAGTGTTTCTCTTTCTGTATCTCTCTTTCTTCCTCTCTTTCTCAAATCAATAAGTAAAATTTTAAAATAAAGACTTTTTATATGTCTTGCCAAAATTACTCTTCCAGGAACATACTAATTTTTACATTTAAGAAAGGTCAATGTTTCTTTAACAAAATAATATGTTTTTCTTTTTCTAGGCTTTGAAATTTCTGAAAATCAGAAGAGGCAGGCTGCAATGACTGTGAGAAAAGTCTCTAAACAAAAAGGTAAAGCTGCATGTTACCAACACTCCTCCTACCCCACCCCATCCCACACCCACCCCACCATTCACTCTCTTTGTGAGAATGGAAAGCCATAGGCTATGTGTTTTCATATTCCTAGGCTTTTTTCCATGTAGAAGTTCACTTGAGGGGGGTGGAAAGTTTCTGGATTCCTATGTGTCCCTGTACATAGAAAATGTTCTTAAAGGTTTAAGTCTGAGGAATGAATAGTATAAGGTACTTATGTCCAGAGATAGCTCATCGAGTACAGGAAAAAAATAGAGCCTCTTGTTATGTTTATTTTTACTTAAATAAACGAGGGAGAGCGAGAAACTAAACTTTACTAACAATTTAGAGATGGCTGGGCAATAGAAAATGTGTAGGATTTATTTATAAGTGTAAGGGAAATGTGCAGAATTTTCTTTCATTGTTTTGGAGATATTTGGTAAATCAAGATCCCAAATCAGAATGAAGAACTTCAAACTGAATCTAGAAGATTCAGATATTCATTGTCTCTTTCTCTGAACTATGAAGTATTTACAAAAGAAAAATACATTGAAAATAAATTTGAATATGAAATGAAGCCCTATTTTCTCATTTTTATGAACTAGACAAAATTAAAATGCTTAGTTAAACAAAGGAAAGGAACTACCCTCTGTTTATTTGAGAGCCTATTCAATCCCAGTCATTTTACATAATTTCTTTCATTTCATCTTTATGGCACCCCTAACAAGGTAGGCATTGTTAGCCCTGTTTTGTAGATGAGGAAACTGAGGATCTTCTGGGTTAAGTGACTCTGAACATAAGTCAGCTTGACTGTAAGTCCCCTTCTCTCTCTTCTCCACCTAAGGGGTCTAATGATTTTCCATTTTGAGGAAGAACAGCTGACTTTTTTCGTCTTACCTCAGTTACCAACAAATGTTTCTGTTACTGATAACCACTGTTATTGTCCCCAGGGGTAGGCAATCTTAGACCTCAGTTTCCCCAGGTCACTCCTTCTGCTTTCTCAGTGGACTATTGCTCAGAATGAGTCACTGTAGAAAATGATCAGATTCAAGTTGCCTAAAATTCCAGCAGTCACATAAAGCACTCCTAATTACTGTTAATGACACTGTTTTTCATTGAGTAAGCTGAGTACCTGTGTATATCTGATTTCCAATTAAGCAGTGTACCTAGTTGGAGCCCCTCTATCTAGACATGACAGTCCCTTTAACTGCTTACTGCTTTTTGCCCTTGGGAGACCCTCTTTCCCTCATCATGCAAATGTGATTCTCTTTAGATAAAGAATTAAAGGCAACCACTCTTAACCTCTTGGGGATGAAAAGTGAGGTATAATATTAGAAAGCAATCTGGAGTTACTGTAAGTAAAGATATGATCTGTATGAATAGGAGAATCCTGTGAGGGAATATGCCCCTTCTTTAGATGGAGATATGAACAGAAAAGAGCCCTAGGCAGGTGGAGAGTCCTCAGGCTACAAAGGGGCTACTGTCCTAGTAGCCTGCATCTGTCTCCTGTAGGCTCTTAGTTCCTGAGCTTCTCTCACTCTGATTTCCTTCACTGTCCTCACCATACTGACATTTGTGATGGGATGGTACCCCATTACCTTAGCCCAGGTTCCCTGAAGCTTATCTGAGACTGGCTGGTTTTGTGACTGTTAATCCTTAAAGCTTAGGAAAATCCACAAATCAAGCAACCAGAAAACAGTCCTGCTCAGTCATACCAAGCTTTTGTGTTAGTTTTCTTACCCACCTGTCTAGTCTCAACCTATACCCTTCAGGTCCTCTCTTGTGTCCCAATATCTAAACACAGGTTCACCTGAACAGCTTTCTACCTGTAATAGCAATCTTAAAGACTTCAAAGAAACGTATCTAGTTTCAAATGTCCCAGAATTCCTACAAATCACTTCTCTTATTTCTACTTCTAGTCTTCAAGACTCTTCTAGTCCAGGGCTGTGGTGACTCATATATTTTGTGACTCAAAGGTACTATACATGTGGAAGTAGTTGTCAAACTTAGTAATATTAGTTACATAATATACATGGGAAGAGCAAGGGAGTCCTTATAGATACCAATGAAGTCTAGCTTCCTTACCATTCCAATGAACCCTTCCTGAAAGTGATGTGAAAGAATTGTTGTTAAGATTTCTCTAATGTAATGTAATTGGATAGGTAATTATTCTAGTTTCCCTTTGCAACCCCATCTGTAATGCCATGGGACTTTATCAACTCAGTCAACTGTTGTGGAGGACAGCCTAGCTCTAAGGAAGGCCTTTTCATTTTACATTTGTCTTTCATACTGCCCTGGTTTTAACTTCTTAAGAGCTGTATGCTACTTCCTGACCCATCAGACTATTTCAGTCTATCATTATAGAACTCCCTAGGGCCCTGAGTATAGCCCCGATTTTCAGAGGTTTTGGGACCAGTTGAGAATCAAATGAGTACACTATAATAACTAAAATAATCTTGAAAAGTAAGAAAAAAGTTGGAGTAATCAGTCTCTCCTGATTTCAACACTAATTTATATAGCTATAGTAACCATAACAGTGTAGTGTTGGCATAAAGATAGAGATATTAGCTCAGTTGAACATAATAGAGAACACAGAAATAGACCTACACAAATTTATATCACTGAATTTTGACAGAAGTGCTAAAGCAATTCACTGGAGGAAGGATAGCCTTTTCAATAAATGGTGCTGAAACAATTGAAATTCCATAGGGCAAAAATTAAAAGAAGGGCTTCAAACTAAACTTGTACCCTATAAAAATTAACTCAAAATTGATAATGCACTTAAATTTAAAACTACAAAATTTTAGGATTGATTGGAGAAAATCTTCTCTGCGTATCTAGGGCTATACAGAGAAGTTCTTAGACTTGACACCAAAATCTTGAATTACAAACTAGAAAATTGATAAAATACACTCGTCAAAATAGAAAAATTTTCTCTGTGACAGACCATGTGAAAAGGATGAAAAAACAAGTTACAGGCTAGGAAAAAATATCTGCAAACTACATATCTGATGAAACACTAGTATCTAGAATATATAAAGAACTTTCAAAACTCAACATTAAAAAACTACTTATTCCAACTAGAAAATAGGCAATATATAAACATATTTCACTGAAGAGGATATATGGATACCATTTAAAAATTAAACAATGTTCAATATCATTAATTATTGGAGAAATGTGAATTAAAACCATAATGAGATATTACTACATATCTATTAGAAATGCAGAAATAAAAAATAGTAACACCATCAAATGCTGGCAAAGATGCAGAAAAATTGAGCCATTTATACCTTGCTGGTGAGAATATATAATGGTACAGCCACTCTGGAAAATAGTTTGGCACTTTCTTAAGACATGAAACATACAATTACCATATGAGCCAGCAATTACACTCTTGAGCATTTATTCCAGAGAATTCAAGACTTATTTCCACATAAATCAAATGTTCATAGAAGCTTTGTTCATAATAGCGCAAGCTGGAAACAATTCAGATGTCCTTCATTGGGTGAAAATTAAGCAAGCTATGGTACATTCATACCATGAAATATTACTCATCAGTAAAAAGGAGCCAGATACAAGTACATGCTACAACTTCGGTGAATCTCAAAGGAATTATGCTACTAGTAAGTGAGAAAAGCCAATTGCTAAGGGTTGCATATTGTATGACTCCATTTATACAATGTTTTAATGTAATTTATAAATGGGGAATAGATTAGTGGTTGCCAGGGAATAATAAAGGGGTGGGGTCAGGAGAGAAATGAGTGTGGTTACAAAAGAGTAGCAAGAGTGATCCTTGTGATGATAGAAATGTTCTATCTCTTGACCATGTTCTATAAAAATGGTAATATCTTGGCTGTATTATTGTACTACTAGAGGCCTGGTGCACATGTGCACCAGTGGGGTCCCTCGGCCTGGCCTACAAGATGGGGCTGAAACCGGCTCTCTGACATCCCCCCAAAGAGTCCTGGATTGTGAGAGGGTGCAGGCCTGGCCAAGGGACTTCACCGGTGAACGATCAGGGCCAGGGAAGGATGCAGGAGGTTGGCCAGCTGGGGCGGGACTGCGGGAGGGCTCCAAGGTGTGTCTGGTCCATCTAACTCAGTTCCAATCTGCTGGACCCCAGCAGCAAGCTAACCTACTGGTCGGATCGTCTGCCCCCTGGTAGTCAGTGCATGCCATAGCAAGCGGTAGAGCAGCCTTAGCATATCATTAGCATATTACACTTTGATTGGTTGAACGGATGACTGGACGACTGGACACTTAGCATATTAGGCTTTTATTATGTAGAATAGTTTTGCAAAATGTTATTAGAGAAACTGAATAAAGGGTACAAAGCATACCTATGTATTTTCTCTACAACTACATGCAAATTTATAATGATCTCAAAATAAAAAAAAATTTAATTAAAAATTTCAAATGAGCATTCCCAACATTCCCTCCCTAATATGTCCATATTGTTTATTGGCATCCCATACCCTCATATTTCTGACACCACCTTTGAAATCGGACAGAGAATGTCATTAAAATGGCAGAATAGTTTGCTTCTGTTCTCCCCCTAAAGAACACTGATTTTGTCAAAGATCCACAGATGAGAGTGATTTTTTTTTTGAGTCTAGGAGTCCATCAGAGAAGCTCCAGATCACTGCTGGAGAAAAATAAAATTCATTATTGGATGCATAGAAGAATCCAGTCAATAAAGACTGAGGGAGATCATTACTTCTTCTTCCTTATTTAAACAATATTTTTTATTGATTTTATTTTTAGAGAGAGAGGAAGGGAAAGGGAAAAAGAAATAAACATTGATGCAAGGGTGAAACATTGATCAGCTGCCTCCTGCCTGCCCCTTAGTGGGATCAAACCCACTATCCTGGCATGTGCTCTCACTGGGAATCAGTCTGGCAACCTTTTGGTGCATGGGACAATGCCCAATCAACTGAGCCACACCAAACAATGCACAACTACTTCTTTAAATGTAAAGACAGTGATGCCAGACTGCA